TCTGAGAAGTAGCTGGTGGGTTTGAACCACCAGCCTTCTGGTTAGCAGTCAGATGCCTTAGGTACTACACCACCAGAGCTCCAAACACAGGGCTAGTGCTGAGGCTTATTGTGCATAGCATAATGTGCCTTGTGCTTAAACCTCTACTTATCAGCCTTTGACTTAAATCCATCACTTCCCTGATTCACATAATGTTTCCCTGCTTTGTAAACAGTATTACCTATTCCTAAGTACACTTATTTTCATGTTTATCTTTTGTTTTGGTGGGGGGAAAGAAGGAAGAATGTTTAGGTGATCTTTTTATATTCTTTGTGTTAGGACATAAATGACTATATTCATACAAACAAAATGAAAATGTCTCTTAATTCTACCTTGAAGAATCTCCATGATTTTGTATAAAGTGTTATAGTTGTCTGTGGCAGAGCTGGGCAAAGACGCACACAGGCACACAATTTATGACCTTACCATTTCTACAAACCATTATATTGTCACAGGTGAAACTATGTGATTTTGGTTTTGCCCGGATCATTGGAGAGAAGTCTTTCAGGAGGTCAGTGGTGGGCACCCCAGCTTACCTGGCTCCTGAGGTTCTAAGGAACAAGGGCTACAATCGCTCTCTAGACATGTGGTCTGTTGGCGTCATCATCTATGTAAGCCTAAGCGGCACATTCCCATTTAACGAAGATGAAGACATACACGACCAAATCCAGAATGCAGCTTTCATGTATCCACCAAATCCCTGGAAGGAAATCTCTCATGAAGGTAACAGTGTCCATTCCAAAATGATAATTGTTTAATGTTTAAATACTATAATGTTATTTTAATTGTGAATCATTCAGTTAATACATGCTTAATGTAATTGCTTCTGGACCAAGGCATAGCTTGGTGGAGATGGGCTGAGAAATTGATTAAATGGAGATAAAAACTATCTTTGGATGAAACGAATATGTATTGTAGAGAAATTGGGGAATGTATTAAGAGGTAAATGAAACAAGTAGAGAGAAACTATTAATGCTTTGTTGAATTTCCTTAAACTTTGAATATTTATACACTGGCATAATAAGAATTATTAATCTTTACTAAGGTTTACTTACCATCTCCCTGGTGCTATGTAAAACACTTTTAATCATTATCAACACAAGCACCCTATGGCCTGGTTACTTTAAATGCCATATATATATATATATATATATATATATATATATATTACACTGAGTTATTTGTATATACACTAAGTTATTTGTATACTAGTTCATATTCTGTATAACATTAAAGAATGTATAATGTTTTATTTCCCTATTGTTGTTATGTGCCATCAAGTCAGACCTGACTCATAGCGACCCCTCCTTGGGTTTCCAAGGCAGTATCACTATAGAAGTAGATTGCCCAACCTTCCTTTATTTCCCTAGTATTATACAATTACATTATTTCTATTTGTTCAATGTTAGAACTTCCTTATGTATAATTTCTGTATGTATCTTGATAATTTCTTTAGGATAGATCACTTTGACCACAGTGCATTACTCTGAGTTAATAAATGTTCTGAGCTCTAAAAAGAAAAGAAATGATTGAAAAGAAAATGGTGGGGGCAGGTGAGGCAGAGAAAATGGCTCACTCAGTACTTCAAAAATGAGTTCCTCAGTGAGCATGCTCTGGAACTTAACGAATTCTCACAGCAACCCCATGAGATAGGCTTCACACTTACATTTCAAATGAAAAAACTGAGGCCAAAGAGATGACATCACAGGCCCAAATCACAAAGCTGGTAAGTAACACAGCCAGGATTTCTAAGCCAGACAGTCTGAGTTGACATTCTTTAACTACTACTCTGTCTTGCTTCTCTTCTAGTTTACAGGCAGCATCTAATTCCAAGTTTGTTCTAACCAAATTTGTTCAGATCTTCACCACTTAAAAAACTTCATTCATAAACAAATATCTGTCAGGCAGGCTCATTCAGAGATAAACATCTCTCATTTAATACCTGTTATTGCAAGTGGTGATGAAGAAATGGGAAAAGAGTGTGTGTAAACTGCCTAAGATATATTAAGGTCATAGACTAATGTTGATATCAAATGACAAGACCTAGCTATTATCAAGGCTTTGAGTTACCATTAGCAACCGCCTTCAACATCCTCTAATTAGTTTTAAATCATAGTAAGATGGATATACCTTAAAGGAATATATGACCTGCAAAAGATCTGTCATGTGTTTCAAAGGAATAATTAAATATTTAGGATAATTCAACAAAGTGAAAAAGTGGCAAGTAATTTTTTTTTCTAGGAGACAGAAAAGATGGAATTATAATATCAAATAACCTTGTGGCCAGCACAAGGTTATTTGATATTATAATTGTTCCTTGTTAGGAAACATTACCTGTAACTATAGTTAACTGTTACGCATTATACCCCTAATCCAGAAAGCCAGTGAAATTTTCCTACTAGAAATTTCTTACTAGATTTTCTTTCTAAAACGCAAATCTGGAAAATCACTAAAGCCAAGCAGACATTTCCCTGTCATTTAGAAATAGGATAGAGTGGGGAAAAGATCTTTATTTAAAATTTTTTTCTTATGGTAGAGGAACAGATAATGCCTCATCTCTTGTACTGTGGAAATTTGCCAGATTTACTATGTACATATAACCTATTTAGCCTATAAGTGAATAATTACAGACTGGGAACAGTAATTATCACTGCCAGTAGAGACCAGAAGAATAGGTAGCAACTCACTGAGCAACCACAGTATACATACATCAGAGCTAATATGAAAGTAGAGGATAAAACATACTGTCTTCAAAGGACTTGCAAAGTAGTTGGAGGAGTTGGGTTATGTGCATTTGGAAAATGATCATTCATTTCCTTGAATTGTTAAGTATGACATCAGTGTCTGGAAGTTCAGAGGAGAGAGAATCACTGCCAAACGGCCTGGTCAGAATAGCATTTTCAGAGGAGATAGAACTTAGGCCAGTCACTGAGGAATTGAAAAGGAAGGTATATGATGTTTCAGAAAGGGAATTATACAGATATCAGTTCAAAAATGCATTTATATTTGACTAGGAAATATGCATTTTAGTTGATAATAAATATGTCTAAGCACTCCTACCATTCAGACCACGTTGAAACTAGTTCAGGTAGAAGACAGGCGTCCTACTTCCAAGGGACTCAAGGATCAGTCAGGAATTTAGCTGGCCTTTCCTCAGCAGGGCCATCTGGCTCATCCTTGCCTTTGAGGCAGAAGAGTCCTACTTTTGCTAACCAAGACTCTGAATGGCAAATGAGTTTCCTGACTGCTGGTATATGATCGGACTCATGCTTGAATACAAAGGAAAGTTAGATGACATCATAGTCAGCATAGGGCTAGATTGGCAAAACACAATTTTTAATTATCTTCAAAAATACTTGAAGACAGGATCACATTGTGATAAAGACCCGAATTGGGAGCCCTACCACTTACTATATCTATGACCTTATCCAAGCTACTTACTCTCTTAAATCTTCATTTTCTTTTCTAAAATACCGGGTTACTGATTTCTGCCTCATTAGGTTATAGTGAATATTGAATGCTATTGTGCCAGAATGTGCTTAGCACAGGGGTTAGGCACTAAGAATGTGTTTAATATATTAGCTTATCTACATGAGCTTAAATATATCGTACACTTCATACTTATCAATCACTTTACATGTTCTATCTCTATGTCTTTAGTTGTGTACTTGACACATGTATATAACTAAATAATATTATATGTATGTGTGTATATATGTATATACTCTATATAAATGCATGTATACAAACAAAACACTTTGTCATGAGTCATAGGATTACAAACAATTGTGCACAAGAGGAGATTCTAGGTCATCAAAGGCCAGGTGTTTGGGAAATTTTCATTTCACTCTAAGGCAGTTCTGTATGTTCCACCTTGTTTCATTTCATTTTCATAACCATCTGGATGGCCATTTGTCATCATCTAACATAATTTCCTGTCACTAATTAGACATGGCCCCTCTTGCCCCTCCAGCTTTATCTCATACCAAGTTAGGTTTAGCTCTCAGCTCATCCATCCTATGGGCCTTTCTTGGTTTCTTTAAAGGACCTGCATACTTAAAAATATTTATTTGTTAGAACAAATTTACTTTATTTTATGGAGAAGGCAGCCCATTATCACATATAAATTTTTAAAACAGTTGAAACTAAGAAAAATTATGTCTTACCTGATCATGTACCTGTATGCCTCTCTTTTCATTGCATTTAAAAATATTCTGAAAGAACAAGAGATAGACTAGAGTATCCTCACTATTTGATACATCTGGTATGTCAGGAGACTAAATCCTGGGCATTCCCCCAAAAAATGGAGAATTACTAATAAGTGTCAGTCTATGACTAAAATGCCAGAGATGTAGAACATAGAAATAAGAGATGGAAACATTTGCTAATTTAGCACAGGAGTATTTACCAGGCCAGGGATTCCTAATAATTTTGCCAACAGATCTCCTTTGACTAGGACTCACTTTAATCAACCTGTTGTAGGCTAGCTTTAAACATGTTCTATGATATGCAAACAATTAGAGAAGCTAGTTGAAAAAATGGACATTCCCAGGCTCCAAACTCATAAAATGACATCCTGCACTAGAAATGTAAAGGTCCATGAGTCACACTTTCCAATTTGCTGCTGTAGAGCTCAGATCCTCTGAAAGACCTGAAAATTCATTGTTATTGTTGTGGATGTCCTTGAGTCACATCCGGCTCATAGTGACCCTGTGTACAACAGAAGAAAGCAATGACTGATCCTGCACCAGCCTCACAATCGTTGTTATGCTTAAGCCCATTGGTACAGTCATTGTGTCAATCCATATCATTGAGGGTCTTCCTCTATTTTGCTGAGGCTCTATTTTACCAAGAGTGATATCCTCTTCCAGGGACTGGTTCCTCCTTATAACATGACCAGAGTATAAGAGATGAAGTCTGGCTATTCTTGCTTCTAAGGAACATTCTTTCTGTCCTTCCTCCAAGACAGATTTGTTCGTTTTTCTTGCAGTCCATGGTATATTCAAAATTCTTCACCAACACTGCACTTCAAATGCATCAGTTCTTCGGTCTTCTTTATTCATTGTCCAGCTTTCACATGCATAGGAGACACAAACATTTTTTTAAGTTTCCACTAATCAAATCTAGATAAGTTGTAGAACGTCTTTCTCATTCTTAACATCATTTTGCATCCACATCATCTTCTTTGTCAAATATTTAATATTTAAAACAATTAAAACTGACTGCCATCGAGTAAATTCCAACTCATAGTGATCCCCATTGGATTTTCAAAGCTGTAACTCTTTACGGAAGCAGATTGCCTCATCTTCCTTCAGCAGAACAGCTCATGTTTGAACTACCGACCTTTCAGTTAACAGCTAAATGCCTTAACCTCTATGTGTCATGATTTTGAATAGTTGAAGGAATATGAGAAAAGAGAATCACTTTGACTTTAACAATGGAAGTTTCTCCTCTAAGCAAGCATAAGTTTAGAGATTAAGAGGTGAATGTTCTTCATAATTCTGTCATTTGTCAGTTAACAATATTTATATATACATTATTCCACATCTTGTTTATTAATGTAAAATTTTCTACTACCTTTATAATAAGCATGACTAATAGTTAGGAAAAAGTGTTTAGATGTTGAAACTTCTATAATGCTGGGAAGAAGGAGGACAAAGAAGAGATGAAATGCCCTATGGTCTACAGAGTTCATAATGGGATTCTGCCTAAATGATTGAGTA